CTAGATGATCAGTTGACTGCATTAAGGCAAGGGCAACGTTTTATTTCTACTGTGTACAAATCTGTCTCACTTGATACTCGTGGGTTTTAAGTACTTTGGAAAGGTCCTGTTGAGAAGACTACTATTTCTCCTGAATCAAAGTGATTTTCTCTGGTTAAAAATTGGTAAACGGTACAGAGGACCGTGTTTATGTATTTCTAATGGTGATTTTTCTGGAATTCTTACACATTGGAAGTATGATCAGCAGCAGTGAAGGCCAGTAATTGTGCTTCCACAGGATGGCAGTGTGGTAACGTTTTCATGATGTAATGAATGATTTATAACAATAGTGGTGGTGTGCATGTTTTTCAGAAACTCACCACTTTGATGGAAAGCCTTTTGTGCTATTGGTTTAAAGAGTAAGAACAGTAGCTTAACACAGATATATAGAAAGTTGTGATAGTGGTAGGCGATAATTTGGGCAGGGTTCCTAGAGAATTTCTAAGAAGTCATGATTGTTAACTGGGTTTGTGGCTTTGAGTCTTCCTGGCAACATTGGAAAGCAGTACAGACCTTCTTGGCTATTTTGCCTATGTCCATGCCAGGAAGAGCTGGAGATTGCTCCCTCTTACAGAGCTATGTGGTACTTTTTGTTTGTTTTCATTTGTTGGATGTCACATGTACTTGCTGCTTTTATATGTTTTGGTCATTTTTGTACGTTCTTGATTTTCCCAACTTGTTCTTTAGCTCCTAGAGCAGCGGTTCTTATGACCCCTTTGGGGGTTGAACGACCCTTTCACAGGGGTCACCCCATTCATAACAGTTGCGAAATGACAGTGATGAAGTAGCAACAAAAATAATTTTATGGTTGGGGGGTCACCACAACATGAGGAACTGTATGAAAGGATCACGGGAATTAGGAAGGTTGAGACCCACTGTCTTAGAGAGTAGGATTGATCTAAAGAGGGTTTTCTATATTTAGACTGTCTTGACCATAATAATATATAGTTAGCAGTAGAATAAATAAATGTGTAATTTTTACCACACCATTTGATGCGATAGTCCAGAAAAAGGCATATTTTTATTTTGAAGTGTATATTGGGGTTTACATTAGGAGATTAAGAGCTACTCCGCTACTTTTACTCCAGTGTATATAATTCTTATTTCTTATATTTTACATGTGGATTTAAATAGAATATATATATGATTTTACCAATTTAAGAAGGATGAGAATAAGATGAGTTTGTGAAGTTTGACATTTTATATCACCTAAAACACAATCCTGAGTTTTGTACTGAGGCGTTAATTTATCTGTTAAAGGATACAATGTGATAGAAGGCGTATCACCTTATGTAAACATCTCAGGGTCAACGATTAAAAAAATTAAGTAAAAATAGTGAAAACTTAAATACAGAAAAGAAAATGGTGACATAACATTTGTCAGATTTGTGTCTGGGATAAAAGAGACGCGGGTGGAGAGAGACCACACCAAAAAGAAAAATACAAAAAGTATATGTGTGTTAGAGCTGTGTTGTATAAAAAGAGACGCCTCAAAAAGAAAAAAAAGATGTAGGAGGCCACATCTAACTTCCTCTGATTTTATAAGCGGGAAGGACAATCAAACTGAACCTCAGTCCCATGAGGTAGTAGTGTTCAGCGTGCCTCCACCCTCCAACCCTCTTTACCAATTCTGATCCCAACCATTTCTCCCAAGGCACTCACTACTTTTGAGCTTGATTATTCATTGGATTGGCTTTGGGTCTTTGGAAACTTATTCACATACGTTCGTCTTCCGTCTTCCCTGTTAAATTTACTTGTGCTTCCTGTTATTTTTAGTATCTTTAGTTATCACTTGTTAGTCAACTTGGGAAGCAGCTTAACATTTTAGCTAATACCCCACCATTTACCTTCTATAGATGTGTGGTGGTTTTTTCCTTAAAGCAAATAAACATTCTTTCCTATGCAAGCTATGTGAAGGGGGAAATAGAACAGTTTGCTATTTTTAAATAGATGCTCTAGTATATTTTATTGTTTCACCTATTTGCTAATAACTATCAGATATGTTTCATAAATGTAGATAAACTTTATAAATGTAATAATTTTCACATTCATTTATTTCATGGGGGTTTTAGCTGTATTCCTAGTTAATTTTTAATTATGATTTCTAAGAAATTGTGATGTTAAGAAATTCTTAGTCTTTAAATTGTAACCCCTCCCAAATTTACCTATACATTTTAGATGGACATACGCTGAGAATATTATAGTTTACTCACTGCTGGGAACAAGTTTCCTATATTAGAATCTAAATTCAGTAACTAGTCTTTGCTTTTTGGTTCGGTATTTTTGAAATCATTTTCTTTTATGATAAAAAATTTAACCGGTCATAGAATTAAATTTTTTTTTTACTCAGGTATTTCTGTGTATGCAAAGATTATTGTGAGACTATAAAAAGAGTATGATATATTAGAGAACTCAGAAAATAATAGCTATTTATAGATTCTGATGATAAATATTCACTAGCTTATGCATATTTTGGTTTGATGCCGATGGGAATGGTGTTTGTTTCCTGTACATGTGATGTGGCTTAGATCTAAATCAATTATTATTGAGTGGATGAAAAAAATTTTATTTGGAGAATGAAAGCAAATGACTTTCTGCAAAATCACGTAATTAAAACTTATGTAGAATCTACATGATTTATAATATATGGTTAATAATTAAAGAAGTACTAAATAGAGACGTCATTTCAAGATGCTTAAAATAAACTGGATAAAACTTTAGTTAAAGAACAAGATTCATGTACATATTTTATGTTTTGAATACATAATGATAGTAATAAATTGACCTTGTTTCCTATTTTGTCTTTATAGCATATAGTACTTTCTACATTGTGGGCTTAATATTGTCCATGCAGATACCCTTTGTGGGATTCCAACCAATCAGAACAAGTGAACACATGGCAGCTGCAGGTATGAAAAAAATACTTGTAAAGAATATGTAAATAATGTGGTTGGTCAATCTTCCAAAAAGCTGAATGTGTTTTATTTTGGTTTTAACTTTTGTCAGAAAGATTCTAAAGCACCACCGCTTTAAAAATGAGTATCTATAAAAGTGTTTGAATTTTTTTCCCCACACACACAAAAATGTGTGTGTACTCAGCCATTGCTAGTTTTATAAAAGGTAAAATCATTCTCTTTTGGATAATCTATGCAGTTTGCAAGCATTGAGTAGTTAACTTTTGTGTAAACAAATTTTGAACAGTAGACTTATCTCTGCTTTACTGCCACGCACATTCCATTTCAGTAAATCAGGTGGAACATTTCATTTTTATGTCTTTCACATCTCACTGATATTCTGTCTATACCTTTTATATTGATGGGAAATTTTTCTATAATTATCCTCTATATAAACAATACTTTACTGTTATTAACCTGGACCACAATTAACATGATGATGGGAGATCTGTGAATAAAACTTTGTCATGTTCATGTTATTTCCAAAGGAAATCTATGGGTAGCTGTTTTATTTGTGATATTTTATAGTATAGATATGCATGTAACTTTATGTATGTAGTTCCTTATCTCTTACTATTCAGTTCACCATTCCCCCCAAAATAGACGTTTGCCTTACTGTTGTATAACATTTTAAAATACATAAAGTGCTGTTTTTGTTTCTGATTTATTATCAGTTTCTCAAGTAGTAACGTGAAACAGAAAAATGCATATTCAATTTTGAGCATAAAATTAATCTAGAACAAAAGTAAAGCAGTGCTTACGCAACCATGCAGTCACCTTTTTGCTGCATATATTTAATTTTTAAAATCAAAATTTTAATATATTTATTTAGACATTTTAAAATGAGCTTTTAAGAAAAATTCCTTTAAAAATTAAAAAACAAGTTAAAAATCATTATTCCAGGTGAGTTGAGATGTCCACGTATTTTAAAGTTAGGCCCTCCATGCTTGTTTTCTGTATTTTTATTTTTTAATTACATACTTTCTCTGTTACTACTTAAATTTTTCATATGTAGCCTTCTCACTTTTGTGGTCATTTGGAATTTTACTTAATTTAGGTCATAGCCTATCACTCTACTACAACCAGTGCCTGTATGTCAGAATTTTCTCATCACATCACTGCTCCTTTGGCAGTGCAATTTCTGTTTTCCTAATGATGTCTTTATTACTCCTTTTCCCAATTAAAATATGGGGGAAAGGGAAGAATTCAATGTGCTAAATAGAGCTTCAAGTGTTCAAATGGGATTATTGTTACTACTTTTTTTTTTTTTTTGCACCTGGTAGTCCATGGCAGGAGCCCTGGTATAATGACTAATTAAAGCACTGGACTGTTAACTAAAAAGCCAACTTTTTGGAAGCTACCAGTCACTCTCTGGGTGAGATGTGGTAGTCTACTGCAAAAATTACAGCCTCGGAAACTCTTTGGGAGCAGTTCTACTCTGTTCTGTAGGGTCACTATCAGTAGAAATGGACTTGACTTTATGGTAGTAGGTTTGGTTCTGGTGGTCCATGGTAGTAGATATATGTTTGGAGAGACTGGGTGCAGGGGAAGGTATAATAGAATTGTTTTGATATATTAAATCGGTTTTGATATATATTAAATCGGTTAGCTGTCATTTGACCAGGGGAATCTTAGCTAGGTGAAATTATCTAAAAGCAGCAGCTCTTTTGAATGAACATACATAAATGACCGGGAAAAATGCTTTGTTGGCTTATTTATATGACTTTTTCTTCTTTACTTAGGTGTCTTTGCATTGCTGCAAGCTTATGCATTCTTGCAGTATTTGAGAGACCGATTAACCAAACAGGAGTTCCAGACTCTTTTCTTTGTGGGTGTATCGTTAGCTGCAGGTGCTGTGTTTCTTAGTGTCATCTATCTGACGTACACAGGTAGGTAGGGGTTCATTGTATGTGAGATGTGAATTTTATCTCAACATTACTTTTAAAAGGATACGGCGTCGCACAATTTTTACAGATTCCATTTATTGTTGTTACCAAACTTTTTTCTTTATTTATTTTTTTCAAGTATCACAATGTTTATTGATAGATACAAGTATGTAAAATCAGGGCATGAACATGACTTGATAAATTAAGTAGACTTAATTTCAATACTATAATAAGAGGGACCAACAAACTTTTTTCTTTATTAAAAATATCTAAAATAGCAAAAGTTCTAAAATCTCAATAGCATTAATACAAGTGATATCTTTTTAGAGTATCAGGTTTATTATATTGAGTAAAATACATGTGATAAGTTTTGAATATTTATACTTATTATACTTAAACAATAACCTGAAAGTGGACATATAGTTTCTTTATGAACAGAGTTATATTTTAAGTTATATTATTATCTCTTACTGTGGTAACCACATAGGTTGCTTTTATTCTACTCCCTCCCTCTTCAGTGGTAATGTACTGGCTGCCAAATTGACAAGCAAGGGGTCTATACTGTAGGGAAGCGAGCGTGAATGTTTGAGTCTGGGAGCTTGTGTATATGTTGTCCCTCTTACTGAAAGAAGGGAAAGAATTGGATGCTTGTTTTTGGAATGTTTCCATATTTCGGGGTTATATCCTCCTTTGTAGTCCAGTACATATCTCAAGGAAGATAAACCCTTCCAGCTCTCTGGAATTCTTTTTTAATTATTATTATTTTTTAATCATTTTATTAGGGGCTCATACAACTCTTATCACAATCCATACATACATCAATTGTGTAAAGCACATTTGTACATTCATTGCCCTCATCATTCTCAAAACATTTGCTCTCCACTTAAGTCCCTGTCTCTGGAATTCTTTAACAATCTCTTTAGTTCATTGCTTAATTTTCTAAGGTTTGTCCTCTAAACCAAGTCCAAAATTTCTCAAAATTGTATTCTCTATAGTCTTAAAACATGTAACTTCTCATTGTAATATACAGTGAACCCTCGCCACTTCGCGCTTCGACTTCCACGGCTTCACTCTATCGCGGTTTTTGCGTAACAGCGCATGCTCTGTCATTACTGCCACTGATTGGCTCATACTGTACACGCTTGATGCCATAAATAATATAATAAATAATAAATGATCATTGTAACGTCCAAAATGTTTTACCGTATTTTCCCTTTTTTCGTTTAATAAATTGGGTAATACGAGTGTAATGGTGACTAAAGGGTGTTTTTTCATGTCCTCTATGCTCTAACTACAAAAATATTTGATTTACAAATAAGGAATCCTACTTCACGGAATTTCATTTATCACGGTAGGGTCTAGAACCGATTAACCGTGATAAACGAGGGTTCACTGTATTGTGATATTTAAATCACGTATGTCAGCTTTTTGTCAAAGCACACGTACACACGATAGCTAGTAACTGACTTTATCATTGATTGTATATTTATGTAATTTTGCTGCTTCATACTCTTATAAATCCACTTTCAAGCATATTTTTCTTGCTGGATAACCGGCCTGAGTTGTAGAAAATTTAAAGCTTCCAGTACTTCATATGTGCACTCTCTTTGTGTGCACACACACTTGTTCTCTCCACTAATAGTTTTGATAATTACATGAAACAGTTGATCTGGAATCTGGATACTAATTTCATAGTTAGCGTTTTAAAAATGTGTGGTTGAAGTTTCTCATTATACAATAACAAATTATTTCCTAGTCCAGTTCCCGAAAACAAGTCAAATTCTTTCTAAAGGTAATCTACCTGTCAAATTAATGTACTGGCCTAGCTCATAAACTCCCGGTAGATTCACAGAAATAAATGGCATGAATGTCTAAAAACATTTTTGTGATTTACCAGTGAACCTTGGTGGCACACTGGTTAAGCTCTTAGCTGCTATCTGAACTTTGAGCAGATTCACCTATTAGTGTCTCCAATGATGACCTAATGTGGCAGTCTCCTCTCCTCCTTCCTTAAAGATTTACCGCCTTGGAGACACGGTGGGGGGCAGGGGGTGTGTGTATTAGAGACAGAGACCACATGATGAGGACTGTTCTACTCCTTCCTACAAGGATGCTGTGAGTCAGAATCAGCTTAATAGTGATTGGTTTGATTTGATATGAATTGTGTTATTTACCTGATAGAATTTAGTGTACTGAATTGGATAATTTAAACCCTCTCCTTTTTAAAAGTTAAATTATCTATATATAGATCATTTTAGATCTAAATAGATCATTTAATTGTATCTACCAACTAACATGCTGTATTTTTCTGGAAGTGCCTTTCCTAAGACTATTGATTTTTTTATTTGATCATAACCCTTTGGCTGCCATCTGTCTGAAATATGTTATCTACAAAAGAAAAACTGAAATTACATTAATATTAGTTTAAGTCGATCCATAATGAAATATTTTAAAAGACATGAATTTTCTCTGTATTTTTCCTTTGAAGGTTACATTGCACCATGGAGTGGCAGGTTTTATTCACTATGGGACACTGGGTAAGTGTAGGTGCATTACCTGCCCTTGTATTAAAGATTGTCTTCAACTTACGTGTGTTGAGTTCTGTTTTAACAATTCCTTAATTCACCCCTGACATTTGGTTGAATTACCTCACCCCACCCCCAATTTTCATTATTGCTGCCTTTATCAATAGCTTTATAAATCCAATTGTGATCTTTGGACATCTGCAAGTGATTATCTAAGAATGATAGCATCAGCCAAATGGTGTATGTTGTACTTAGTAACTAATAAGATGTACCCAAAAAACAGATTCATGATACGTGAATATGCTGTTAGTTGGGAACCACCTGTAATCTTAAAACTGTCCCTTTCCTCTCAAATGGCCAGTATCTGAAGTCATTGCTTGGGCAACGTAGCTGAAGTAGCTAGCATGTTCTGGTTTAACAATTATTAATCTTTTATGTCTTAACTTAATTATAACTTTATTTTTGCATCTTTTTCTTGATACATAAGTTGTTTCTGTTCTGCATTGGCAATATCTTCTTTAAGTTTTGTTTGTCAGAGGATCCACGTAATGTTAAGTGCTGCATTATAAATACATATAGCATAGATAGGAAGAATATCTTTTCCACTACGACAAGATCTAGGTTTTTTGAGGTTTTTTAAATCTGGACAACACACTAGAGAGTATTTGTTGTGTTTTATAGACTGCTACTCAGAATAAATTAATAAATGGACATTTAATTTTGAATTTGCTAACTGGCTAAAAAATCTTGTTGCCTCTAAAATGTTTTTCCAGGGATAAGACAGTATTTGATGGTGATAATTTACCTCTCTCCTTTGCCCCTCCGGTTTTATCCGCTTTATTATTTTCTAAGTGGCCCAATAAAAACTTAGCACAATTTATTTAACCATACCTTTTGATAAAGGAACAAGTCCTGGTGGGGCAATGGTTAGTTAGCTCAGGAGTCCTCAAACTATGGCCCGCAGGCCACATGCGGCCTGCCGAGGACATTTATCCGGCCCGCCGAATGTTTTGTCCCATTTTTTTTTTTTACTTCAAAATAAGATGTGTGCAGTGTGCATAGGAATTTGTTCATAGTTTTTTTTAAAACTATAGTCCGGCCCTCCAACAAGTCTGAGGGACAGTGAATGTTTTGTCCCATTTTTTTTTTTTACTTCAAAATAAGATGTGTGCAGTGTGCATAGGAATTTGTTCATAGTTTTTTTAAAAACTATAGTCCGGCCCTCCAACAAGTCTGAGGGACAGTGAACTGGCCTCCTGTTTAAAAAGTTTGAGGACCCCTGGGTTAGCTGCTTGGCTCTGGACCCAAAAGGTCAGCACCCTGAACCCATGAGCTGCTTCAAGAGAGAGAGAGAGAGAGAGAGATGGGACAGTCTGCTTGCATAAAGATTTACAGTCTAGGAAAGAAACCCTATGGGGACAGTTCTCCTCGGGCTTGTAGCTTCTCTTGGAGTCAGAATCAACTCAGTGGGCCTGGGTTTGTTTTTGATAAAGTAGCCCTGGTGCCCCAACAGCTGAACACCTGATTGGTAACTGAAAGGTTGGTGGTTTGAACCTACCAGTTCTCTCCAAGGGAGAAAAGAGCCCTGGCAGATTGCTCTGTAAAGCTTATAGCCTAGAAAACCCGATGAAGCAGTTCTCTGTCACATGAGATCAGTATGCATCTGAACTGACTCTGCGCATGCAACAACCACCGCCCCCTTCTGGTTCTATTTAAAAGGACTCTTGTCTAGATAAATATAATTCGCAACATAAACACCCCACCCCACTCACTCTATAAACAAGTTATATGTGATGACTAGCTAATAATTGGACACTTGGAAAAATCAGTCCAGTTGGGGTAGAACTCAGGTTCCTAACTAAGCCCCAAACTTTACATAGGCTTCTGATTTAAAGCCTGTTCCTTCCAGACAATTCCTAATACCCCCTTTAGTATATCCAGTTATGTATAGGCTGAAGGTAGACATGCAAGCTCTCTGTAATCATGATAAATCATATTGATATCCATCACACATTTAGGCCTATGTTAGGATACCAAGTTGAAGAGACATTTAATATCCATCATACAGTCAGGTAGATAACCCTTTAATAATACCCAAATTTAATCCTCTACTTTCCTGGGCTGTCTTATTTATATACATATGGCCTTAGGCCTCCTGTAGAGTAGTAGATCCAGAAGGACCAAGCCCCTATCAGTCATCTTGCTTACCCTCCTGGACACTCTAGAAGTGGCTCTTCTCCATTCTGCCTGCAGCATGTCATGTGTTACCCGTTAAACCACTAGACATAACAGAATCCCCTTTGTTCTTTCTCTTACAAAGTCCCATACTTCCAATGGGCCTGGAGCCACTGCAATGAACCCCACTCTTGACCCCAGCTATCAAAAAAGAAATGACCTGGAGCTATATCTAACCTCTGGCTCATATGAATGACTGCTACTGTGTTATAGGACAGACTGACAGTGATTCTCCTGATTTTAAAGAGGGCATATTAGTTTTCATGTTACCAATGTGAACTGAAGAAGTGTTTCCACTATACCTGGGTTACATTGGAATATATATTTAAATAAGAATGGGTAGGGGATGGGAACTATATTTACAATTAAAGGACATTTTTCTAAAAACACCTGATGTATCATTGTATTCATTCTAAATAATATCAACTTTTTATGCTAGGTATGCAAAAATACACATTCCAATTATTGCATCAGTATCTGAGCATCAGCCTACGACTTGGGTGTCTTTCTTCTTTGATCTACATATTCTTGTATGTACCTTCCCAGCAGGCCTATGGTTCTGCATCAAAAATATCAACGATGAAAGAGTATTTGGTAAGAACTTAAATGAATACTTTGGAATAATTATTTATATTCCTTATTTGTTATTAATTCACTTTATAATTTTCTTTTTCTTTAACTGCATATTCAAAATAAAATTTCTCCCGTTTTGTATAGATATTTAACCATGAAAAATATGGTGAATTTACATTACATATAGTAATCTAATTATTAACTTTGTCCCTTTAGGACTAGTATATAAATTTTACATTTAATTATGGCTACTGAAAAAGGTAATGCTATTATCAGGTGTCCTCAAACTGCGGCCCGCAGGCCAAATGCAGCCCACTGGATGTTTTTGCCCCGTTTTTTTTTTTTACTTCAAAATAAGATGTGTGCAGTGTGCAAAGGAATTTGTTCATAGTTTTTTTTAAAACTATAGTCCGGCCCTCCAACGGGTCTGAGGGACAGTGAACTGGCTCCCTGTTTAAAAAGTTGAGGACCCCTGGCTATTCTATGTAGTCAGAATTAAAATTGTAGCTTTATTGACATATAATCTTGGCTTCATTTTCTAAATTAGATCTGATTGAGTAGGAAGGCGTTGGCATGGGTATCCATTTTATGTTTAGGGATAATGGTATAAGAACCAGCTTTAAGTAAAATGCTGACTTTGATAGATTGATGTATGTTTTGAATAAGATTTTAAATACAAAGTGTTATATTTGAAAACCATGTGCTTAGGATCTCACATTCAAAGTAGATATAGACAAAATGAGCAGACACCAAAGGACTATGCTGTGGCTGTTGTACACATGACAAGACTCGAACCAAGAATAGCTTTAGAGTGTGCACAAGGCCACACAAGCCAATAAGTAGTAAAATCAAGACTTTAATGGCAAGTACGGGAGTAATGGGACCCTGGGAGACACTATTCTAAATAGTATTGTAAGTTACTATTAGACAAAGAACCACTTCCGTGAGTGTTAACTAAAGGGTGAACACGCTCATTTTTTTCTAGTTTACCTAGATTGATGGTCTTTAGAATGGCCGTGAGCCAGTGAGCAATTCATCGCTTAAAAGAAGTTAGCAAACTCAGGCCTGTCTCATGACTCAGCACTTAGACTGCATGGTAAAGAGAACATAAATCCACCAAAGAAGGTGTTTAAGGGTGCACATAGCAACCTTTCTTCATAATAGCATCCAATTAGAAATGCTCCAAGTGTCACCATTAGTAGATAAATAAATTTTGATATATTTGTATAATGGAATGCAACATAGTAATTAATAAAAGGAACAGCATGGATAAATCAAAGGAACCAGCACAAAGCAGAACATTTTTATGTATAAATGCTCATCGAACTCTGTACTATCGAATATGGTGAAATAAATGCATCACGTGCCTCGGGAAAAATAGTTATAATTGGCTAAAGATAAGATCAGAACTAAAATGACAAATTGACTTAGTAAATTAGAGCCTTTGGCCAGAAATGGTAGAACCTTTCCTTGTGGTGAGCACATTTCCAAAAAGTTCTGGCTGTTGGACATGTGCTTAAAAAAAATTTTTTTTTAAGTCTCTTAGAAGAAATTTTACAAGTTCTTTCTTTAGTGAATAAATTTTCATCTCACTTTCCCAAACTCTTATAAATTTACTGGGTCTGATAATGTAATGCACAATAACAATTCAATTGTCAGTGATGGATTTTCTAATATTGAATGCTATTGACAAAATGCATACAGTGTAATCTCCTTGAGGAACTGTAATTAAATTTGAATTGATGCATTTTTATAAAATGTTGCCATGTCATTTTTATTTAGTCAATATTAGTCGTAATTTCTCAGTGTGACTTTTAAGCACATACAAAGATATTATTAATTTTAAAACAGCTAGAGCTTTATGAGGTACTTGTCTGCTTTTAAATTTGATTTCTAATATGGCATCAACTCTGTAGTTAGTTTCCTGTGAGTGCCTTTTCCCTCTGTGTTACAAGAGAACTTGTCTTTCAGTTGCTCTGTATGCCATCAGCGCTGTCTACTTTGCTGGAGTGATGGTGCGGCTCATGTTGACTCTGACGCCAGTTGTTTGTATGCTGTCTGCCATCGCCTTCTCCAGTGTTTTTGAGCACTATTTGGGGGATGACATGAAAAGGGAAAACCCACCTGTGGAGGACAGCAGTGATGAAGATGACAAAAGAAATCCAGGAAACTTGTATGATAAGGTGGGCAATCTAAAGGAAGGCCTTTAAACATTTACCTGCTTTTTCCTTCCACACAGGAAGCTGTATGTAGTATGTGATTAAGTAAAGATGAGACAAACTGTACTTTCTCTCATTGTCTGCCTCAAATTTTGAATATTGGCTGGGTCATTTAGCTCAGTTTACAAATACATTATGTAATCCAAGAATAAGTCACTTCTTTTTAGTGAGGTGTTTTATAAATACTTAAGGTCTATGAATACTCTTCCATTTTTTAGTGCAAAAACCCGGTGCTATACTAAATTGCATAAAATTTGCCAGTATAAACCCCATTGAAACCACGTGAGCCATGGCTGATCCTTGAAGTTTGTGTGCCATACAACTTTTTAAATATTATATGGAAAATGTTTGAAGATGACAGTTGGTAGATTCAATCATAAAGCAAAGGAAATAAGGTGCTTAAAAATGACTGGCCCATATAATGTAATGCCATTTGAGCCTATAGGCCCTCATGGAACAAGCAGGACTTTATGTGGTGCAAATGTAGAAAAACCTAGTAGAAATCGGAGCACTTATCTTAATGCCGTTAACTTTTGTCAACCAGATTCTTAGATACAACCTAGCAGTGAAATTTCCTAGTGTATAGGTATTAATTTTGAAAGTGTTTTATTAATTTTTCCCCATACTAAAGTCATTCGTGGTTCTGGATTATAAGCGGACATGCCATTTTCAGGGTGCTTGTTTGATTTAATAAAGATTTTTATTAGGAAAAGTTACCATAATAGTGCCCTTTGCTTATTTATCTCCCTTTGAATATAAGTAAAACACAAGAACACAAGTAAAACACAACTGGCTTTAGAAGCCACTGCTTAAAGATGAGTTTGTGCTTTGGCTGTTCCTGGATTAGGTACATGCGAAGGGCTTCTAATTCCCATTGACGTTAAAATCTTTGTTGATAATATGTAGAAACCACTGTCACCCTCAAAAATGAAGAAGCAAACTCCCCGCCATGGAGTCCGTTCTGGCTAGAGGACAAGGTAGAACACCCCTCTGGGTTTCTGAAATTAACTCTGTACGGGAGTAAGAAGCTTCAGCTTTCTCCGGAGGAGTGGATGGATGGTTGGTGGTGTGGAACTGCTGACTCTGGTTAGCAGCCCAGCAGTTAAATACTGTGCCACCAGGGCCCAGGCCCCTTCTGCAAGAGTACCTAGCAACTAGCAAAATGAAATCTATGAATTAGCGTTCTCTCGATTTTTTTGTGTGTGTGTATGTTCTTGAAACAAGTACACTAAAGAGTTTCTTTAACTTTTTTTTTCTTTTTAATCTTCAGGCAGGTAAAGTGAGGAAACATGTAACTGAACAGGAAAAAACTGAAGAAGGATTAGGTCCTAATATAAAAAGCATTGTTACAATGTTGATGCTAATGCTATTGATGATGTTTGCAGTCCATTGCACATGGGTTACAAGCAATGCCTACTCCAGCCCAAGTGTGGTCCTAGCCTCTTATAATCATGATGGGTAAGAAAACAACTTGACACATTTTAGAATCTAACACACACACCCCTTCCTTAGAGCATAAATATTTTATATTTCATGCTTTATTCCTGAATGAATATCCCTGCAAAATAATTACATACATCAGGTATTCCCAAGGCCTGCTCCTTGACCATATCACTGCCAGAAATAGGTAATATTGACCTCACCTCAAATCTTCTAAATCAGTAACTCTGTGGGCAGGCTCTAGCAATCTGTTTTTTAACAGCCTCCCATATGATTCTTATAAAATTTGAGAACCACTGATTTACATATTACCTCATTTACCTGCTGTTAGACATGTAGAATCTCAGCCTCCACCATAGAACTACTGGTCCAAAGTCTGTTCTGTTTACAAGATACTCAGATTATTTGTGTGCACTTGAAAGTTTGAAAATCACTAACCTAGGTCTTCCTTAATTTCTTTTTTACCCTGTTCGGGGAGACCGTTAGCCACCATCCTTAAAATGTGGAGTAGTTAATGGTTAGCACTTTTGAGACTTTAAGCTACCTTCTGAACATGCCTAGGACCTCATTAAACGGAATATTATTCTTTTAGCACCAGGAGTATCTTAGATGATTTTAGAGAAGCTTACTTTTGGCTAAGGCAAAATACGGATGAGCACGCCCGAGTGATGTCTTGGTGGGATTATGGCTACCAGATAGCTGGAATGGCTAACAGAACGACTTTGGTGGACAATAACACGTGGAACAACAGCCACATTGCACTGGTAAGAATTTGATCATCAAAAGGTCAGAAATACAAAATCCTTTTAGCAGTCAGGTTACTCTTATTAAATAAGAAAATTGTGTATATGAATACTCTTGATGTGTTGAATTAACAAAATATTACATATTTATTCAATGAAGTGGATTGAAGCCATGTTTATTTTGATTTCACAAATGATGTTGACTTATTCAGAGTCAGTCAGAATTGGAAGCTAATCTTCTGAGATATTGTGATATGAGAGGCTTCAAAAAGTTCATGGAAAAATGGAATTAAAGGATAACAGAATTTTTCCATGCCATTTTAAATTCTTGTTTTTAGCTTACTGGAGAATTTGGCAAAATTTGAAACTTTAAAAATACTTATCTATATTTTATTTGTATCTACTTGATAAATGAATAATATTATTTCCAAATATGTAGAGCAAATGCTCTGTATTGAGCATGCAAATTTTGTTACCTATTGACTAAAAAAGCTGCATAAATTATTCACTTTGGTACTTTGAAATGTTCTAATATATCAGCTTATCTAACTAATTGAATTCTATTAGTTTTGTAATTAGTTATCGTCTAGACTGGACTTAGAAAAATGGCGCCCTGGCCTGAGGCTGTGAGAAGTTTTATTTCCTTTAACCCTGACTACCTTTATTTTAAAACATTTATTTCATGAAATTTAATTATTATCTACATTATAGCATGTACTTTGATTTTGATATTCTGCTATAAATTGGTTCAGTGGGTGAGATATTCTTAAATCTCTAATAAGTTTACTATGTTTATCGGAAATTATTCTCTAAAACAAGTTCCATGTAAATCAAACTATTGAGATGCATTCCATCTTGTGGCAAAAGTGTGTGTGCATACATACGTATTTTTAGTGAATTCAGGGATTAAGCATAGATTCTCTTTATTTTTCCATTTCGTAGGTAGGAAAAGCCATGTCTTCAAATGAATCAGCTGCCTATAAAATCATGAGGACTCTGGATGTAGATTATGTTTTGGTTATTTTTGGAGGCGTTATTGGCTATTCTGGTGACGACATCAACAAGTTTCTCTGGATGGTTAGGATCGCCGAAGGAGAACATCCAAAAGACATCCGGGTAAGGAGCAAGATAATGAATGGTTTGTAAAAAAATAGCTCACAGTGGCCGAGTAATGATTCTTTTATTTTGCTCATTGCACCATTTTTCTTGTCATCACTCTCTCCTCAAAATTAATCCCTCACCCAAATGTTGTTTAAAGATAGTAGAGGAATATGCCCAGGTTAAAAACTTTCCAAGCTCATTCATAAGACACTTCCCCCCACCCCCCACCACACAAAGGAATATCTTAACAAGTCCTCTTTACTTTTAAAATGTTACTTCTGACTCTTAGGCTTTTGAAGATTAAATAAGATCCCGCCCATTCCCCCCAAAACTGCCGTTGAATCGATTTCTTGAAATTGTTATCTTTGCCTCGGTTTGGTTCCTCCTTTTTTTTAAAAAATTATTTATTGAGAGCTCTTTCAGATGTAACAGTCCATGATTCAGTTAGATCAAGCATTATATTGCAATTGATACCACCATCAGTTTGGGTTCGTTTACTAGCACATTAACTGTGTCACTTTCCTGTTGAAAGGCATTTATTTGGTAGATCTCAGGAAAGGGCCTTAAAGCAAGACAGGCTAGAGTTCAAGTGAAAAAGCTCTGCCGCTGTCAACATGGTGCAGTCAGCAAGTTAGTTTTGGCTGGTACACATACGTGCTTTGAACACTAGATCCTGTTGTAGCACCTACATAATGGTGATTAAAGCAGACTATGTTAACCCAGGTGAAGGGGATGCCTGAAGTAGCCAGTTGTAATGTTGTATAGTAAGATACATAAAGTCTCCGTAGTGAAGTATTGTTATGAAGTCCAAAGTCCCTAGCTTAGAATTTGATTCCTTTGTTTTTTATCCTTTATTGGCTTTCTTTTCCCTCTATCAACTGTGTATTGCTTGTCAATCCATGCTATCCCTTGAAACTTGCCTCATGGTTTGTTTTTATGATTCATCTGACGCATGTGCTTCAACATTCCCTTCTCTACTGTTGACCTTCCAGGAAACCTTTCTCCCACTTAGTTAGGTATTCCTAGAGGACGGGCAGCCAACATTGTGCTTTACGTGATGAACACGTAAAACATGAGCGGATTCCCCACTGACCCAGAATTAGAATCTCTAGGGGGAAGTATATGCATGTGTGTCTTATAATGGGACTGAGGGTGGAGGTTCCAAATTTCTTATCAAATGTAAATGCTGTGACATCTCCCCCTAGGCATGATAGACATTGTTTTAATTTATTTTTAATCATTTTATTGGGGGCTCATACAACTCTTACCACAATTCATATACACATCAATTGTGTAAAGCACATTTGTTGCCCTCATCATTCTCAAAACATTTGCTCTCCACTTAAGCCCTTGGCATCAGTTCGTCATTTTTCCCCTTCCCTCCGATAGACATTATTTCTATGAATTGGATTAATCTTCTGAAATTTAATTCTGTGAATATGTTTTTCATTTGTGGGTTTATGTTAGCGGTGTTGAAATGGTGGCATGTGACAAATCATTGATTCCACATGTATGCTTTAAGCTATGTATATAGAAATCCTCTATTTCTATGCCTTAAAAGATTCATTATTTAAAAATTTTAAGGGGTAATACCTTCACATGGTTCAAAAATGGTATGAAAATATACATGCAGTAAATGCTTATCCCATATTATAGCGTGGAATATTATACATATTATAGCGTGGAAAGCCGTTTCATTCCTTTATTACATCTGCATAGTGTGTAGCACTGTGTGCATGTACCATGGTATATTTAGTCTTGGTTATTAATTACTTTGCCCATATACCGTGTACACTTGAGTATAAGCCGACCCGAATGTCCACCGAGGCACCAAATTTTAACACATTAAAAATGTGCTAAAAAACTCAGCTTATACTCGAGAATATACAGTACTAGTTTCTTAGCAGGATAAAGTCCTAGGTTAGGAATAACATAAGAGTTTTCAAAACACACCCTTCCTCCCACCCAACTAAAAAAGCTTATTTTAGAGTTCATATGGAAAAATAGGAAATTTTTTTAAAGGAGTGATTTAAGTAGGGAGGGAGCGGTTGGAGTTAGCCCTATAGCCAGTGTTCTTTTTCAATAAAGACTTTATAACATGGTTTAAAATTATTGGGCTTAATTGTGCTACATTTTCTCAACAAGCACTATTGTTCTTTTCTCTGTTTCATATTTACTTATGGTAAATAATCCGTAGAATCGGCCTCTTTAAACACCTGTGATGGTTTTGTTTGGGGTTTTAAAGGCATGTGTAGTTTACGTATTAAGCTTGCATGTTAATTTTTTATATGATACCCTCTTTTTATTTTTAATGTTAAAACTTCTTGAAGATACTTCCAAAAGTTGGTTCTTATGGAGAAGTGACTGACATCAAAATTCTGCATTTTTTTTCTTGTAGGAGAGTGACTATTTTACCCCACAGGGAGAGTTCCGTGTAGACAAAGCAGGATCCCCCACTTTGTTGAATTGCCTTATGTATAAAATGTCATACTACAGATTTGGAGAAATGCAGGTTAGTTTGTTTTTTTATAATCTATGTTTTAAATCTTGTTGCTTCTGGAAAAAACCTACGATAATTGTTGTTTTTTGCGTGTCCTGAGGAATGTGCTTCTGTAAAGATTTTGTTTTTCATTAAATTTAGATTTATGAAACTTCTATTTAAAAAATTAAGTGGGAGGAATCTGTTACATCAGGAACTTTTCCCAAAAATCTTTGGCTCAAATTCAACCTTTGTCTGCCATCCCATCTTTTACCTGATGATATTTGAAAGACATTGTTCTCCAGGGAAAGTTCTCTCAGCTAGAAAGCTTAAGGTCTTAAGTAGGTCACCTTGCTGTTTTGGGGGGAAATTAAAGAATTATGTAGTTACACGTTCATTTTTTCTCAGTTTGCAATTATCACAGCTAACTAGGGAGATCTGAATTTGATGGTGCTATTATGGTATAAAAACAAATAGGCATTTGGGCAAAAGGAATGGGCAGTGGTTTTGATCAGCCACACTGCATTTTAGATCTCACTCTTGGACAGTTCTCATTTTCTCTTGTTTAATAACTGAGGTGTTTTACCTTATCTGTTGATAGAGGTGTTGGAAACTATTTGAAATCCCTTCATATGATTCTAATACCAAGTTAGTACCTTCATATTACAGTTTGAGAACTGCCCAGTTCTGCGTTGCTCTCTGGTTAAATTATTCCAGGAGACACAGGAAGATATGCTTGTTTCATTTTATACCATCACCAGAGATTACAATAACTGTCCAAACTAAAGGGGTTTATTTTAGCCTCTTTGTGAAGCACATTTTATCCTTTTGTAAAATACCATGATGGTGGTTGACAGAGGCTCATATATGCCATTGGTTTGAAAGGAATTTGCATGTCACTATTTCGTTCAATGCAGTGCCTCAAAGTCGATTTGTCAAACAAATTTTTGTTTTACCATAATTCACAAAATAATCTTACTACTAGATTGAGGTTTGATTTCTTTGATAACCACTGCCTGTTCTCCAAACTAATGTTAAGAAAGAAGCAAATCGGACCACAATTAGTTGCCTCAGAAAATGGATCTATGATTAGTTTTTGTGTTCACTTATACTCTCATCAGATCTCACTTCCCTTTTTTTACCAACAATTTAAAGTTTCCAGCATGAATTAATTTTGATGCCTACTCTACTAAGAAATCATTCAAGGAGGCTTCTAAAAGCTAAGAGAGAATGGCATTTTCCCAGGAATTCTTTGAATCCCTCTTGTAAATACTTTTAAAACTTGATCATATACCTTCCTGACATGATAGCTGAAGACAAAATGGGTGCATAAGTAAATGTGGCGAAGAAAGCTGATGGTGCCCAGCTATTTAAATATATAGCCTCTGGGGTCTTAAAGGCTATCATTAAACAAACTGCTGTCTAGCAGGAAAGCAACAAACCCACATGGAAGAAGCACACCAGCCTGTGTGATCACGAGGTGTCGACGGGAATAGGTATCAGAAGTTCAAAAAACAAGCAGCCAAATCAATGTGAAGGGATGTGGGTAGAATGGAGACCCAAAATCCACCTGTAAAATAATTGGACAGTCCCTCACAGAAGGGCCACACAAAAGAGATGATAAGTCCAGGGTGCAGTCAGTATAGCACTGATGAAACTCATAACTATCCTCTAGTTCTAATCATGTTATACTTGTGTATGTTCATTCGTATAATTAAGATCGTTTGGTACATGAAAGCCAAGATAGATAACCCGTCAGAAACAGCGAGAGGAGTAATGGTTCCTGAGGGGAGAGAGGGTGGGTAGAGGTAGCTGATAGCATTGATGACTCTTTAACTCCACTTGAGGGGAGCAAACAACAGAATTTGGTGCGATTGGATATATTGGATGGTGTAAGAGAGGGACCTGATATCAAGGAGTTCAAAAAGAAAGTAAGTAAATGTTTTGAAACTGATAGTAGTACGATAATGCTTGATATACAGAACTATGGAATGTTTTGATAGCTATAAGAGCTCCCAATAAAAAAAATTTTTCAAAGAGAAAACTTGAATGTGCAGCCAAGTGAAAATAAGATTATTCCATTTCTTGAGTATATTTAGGTTTGTTTTAAAGTTGAGTTCCTTGCACTGCTGGATTTATGTGTTCCGTTATTTCTTTTTATGCTTCTGACTAGGGGGTTTCTAAGTTTGTGGAAATTTTCCATTATCTTTTCATTTCATTTGTCCACAAACTTTTTAAGCTCCCTCGAATTTGACCTCCCTTTATATTCTTGCCTTCTTTCTGGTGATTTAACAAACATTTATTGAACATCTGCAAGGACAACATTGAGACTGTAAAGCTTTGTGAATAAGGTAGAAGAGAATAGCAGCTGGCATCTTAGTAGAGAATACAGGTAATGTTTTTAAATATTAGCAACACATGCTATAGAATAAAACAGAACCATAAAATAACGATGGCTCGAGACCACCAGTCTAAAGAAACTATTTACCTGAAGAGGCTGGGCCGAAAGGACAGAAAAGGGCCAGCCATGTAGAACTGCTAAAGGAAGCTTATTTCAGGCAGAATCAAAGCCTTGTAGGAAGATTCACAAAGTTTATAGAAAAATGCTATTATTTTCATTATGAAGCCCATATGTTCATACCTATTAAAAATGCTTTGATAGATTTCATTTCAGTGGTTTGGCTTTTTATGTTTATAGGCTGTTCATTCTATGGATAAAGTAAAATACTAATTTTGAGGTATTAGATTCATTCTTTAGTGATTTCATAGTATCTAGTTAATATATATACTCGAGTAGAAGCCGACCCAAATAACAATCAAGGCACCTAATTTTACCACAAAAACTGAATTTAAAATGTGCTGGAAAACTCGGCTTATACATGAGTATATACGACAACTACTGTGGAGTTCCTGGATGGTACAGATACTAATGCATTTGATTGCTCACCAAGGATTGAAAGCTTGAGTTCACCTCATAAGAAAGGCCTGATAATCTACTTCTGAAAAATCAGCCATGGAAAACTGGAGCACAGTTCTAGGCTGACACACATAGGGTCACTATCAGTCAAAATCAACTCAGTAGTCACTGGTTTTGTTTTAGTTTATAACAGTGTTTTAGCACTATTAAGTTTATTATTCAGTTCTCTTCTAAAGAGGTGCTTAGCATATACTCTTTTATCTTCTATTATTGAATGTTTTCTAATAGTGAACACCTATTTCTCATGCCACTTTTTGCAGCTGGATTTCCGCACACCCCCGGGTTTTGACCGAACACGTAATGCTGAGATTGGAAACAAGGACATTAAGTTCAGGCATTTGGAGGAAGCCTTTACATCAGAACATTGGCTTGTTAGGATATATAAAGTGAAAGCACCTGATAACAGGGAGACCCTAGACCACAAACCTCGAGTCACCAACATTATCCCAAAACAGAAGTATTTATCAAAGAAGGTGAGTGCCAAAGAAAGTTATTTATATAAAGAGGGATAGTAAGGTTGGTTGCTTTGTGTGGAAAACAATTACTGAAAAGTTTATAAACCTGACAAATGAAACATATTTAAAGACTATAAAAAATATAAGGCTAGCCTGCTAGGGGCATTCCTTTGTAACTGAGCATCTCAGATGTACCAAGCAGCAGTTTTTCAGAGGTGGTCCTGGCTTTTGGTTTGTCCCATCTCATTAACACTCACAAAGTCAGATGTATCTGGCCATCCGTGAATAAACCTGTGTCAATGTGAAAATGTCTAATCCTTCAGGATTAGAACTGTATTTGGTTTCTCGTTTTTTCAGTTAAAGCAAAGTTCTATTATTGTATTTTCATGTCCCCTTAGTATAATGTCACTGTATTATTTGATAGAGAACAGGCTTGAGTGAGGCCTTGGGAAAGCCCCCCAATTACCATCAAAATTCATTTCTTTTGTCACACTTTTCTAATAATTATATAATATTGAAATATCTTATTGTGATCCATATCACTTCCACAGATCACTAATCTTTGCTATTAAAAAACCTCACTGCCAACTCATAAAGGACTGCTAAAATTGTTTATACAGGTTGCTCAGCTGTGGGAGATGGGAAGTACGTAACAGCCAAATGACATATTAAGGTTGTAGCATGAGGTACTACCCATTGAAGGGCTGGTTTGTCTTTAGGGTCAGTGTCCTTGTTAGTGCAGCTGTGACTTGTACAACAAAATGTGTGACTTTAATGAACAGTGGTGTCGGAGCTTATGAGTCGGAATTCTGGGAATCGGCTCTGGGGAAGTGTCTTGGCTTCTGTAGTTCCAGTGGTTTTTGCTTGTTTGTTTTGTTTTAAAGGCTTTATGTTAGAACTGTGTAGGTTCTAAAGGAAATAGCACTTTGAGTTGACTTTTTTAATGTGCTTGCTGAAGTTTTAAGACCATATGCTTGATAGAATAATAAGGCAACAAGTTAGCAGTAGCTGATATGTAAAATTTAAGACTAGTTGCTTGGTTGGTTCAGTCTCTTTAAGCCTAATCATTTTTGAAGCTTATTTTCTTACCTAAGATATTTTTGGAGGGCGTGCCAAGTAATTTTATTTCTCGTTCAGTAGTATAAATAAGTACAGTCAACCTCATTTTGTAGATAAGGGAACGCGGGGGCTCCAGAAGTTATTGTTGTTAGCCTGCCTTTCTGACACAGAGCTAATTCCGTGGAGGCCAAGTCAGGAGCAGTAACATTTTCTGCTTCCTTGGTCTAGTGTTCTATTATATTGAGTCATTGTTCCAGGCAAACGTTCATTGAGTTGCTTAGTGGTGCTCCTTGGCTTGATGAGGATCTTAGGAAATGCATTTTTTAAGACTGTTCTGGGAGTTCTAAGAATCTAGTTCAGTGGTTGTGCGTGGCTGTTGATGGCGTCCAAACTGTAGGGAAGAACTAAAAGAAATTAAGAACGTATTCTTGGTGGCAATACTCTTTGAATACCAGACTAGTCCCAGGAGTTGGAGATTAAAGATGCCCCAAATGTGGCTTTTCCAAAATTTTATTCTCCATTTTAACCCCACTCCTCCCTGCTTATATTCCCTCATGTCCCTGGGTTTGGGGATTTGCTGCAACATACCACCAAGAAACTCAATTAATTTTGAGACCAATATCTTTGATGTGATGATGGGTGTTCTTCAGAGGTGAGCCAATTGCAGGGTCTAGAGCCAGACGCCCAAAATGCTGAAAGAGTCACAGCAGGTCTTCTACCAAAGCTCAGTCGGGAAGTAGAGGTGTGGCTTTCCAGGTGAGCTGATGTTGCGTTAGAACGGTATGGTGGTACCAGTGTATCTACCCTATCCCAGGAAAACAAAGGGTGTTTTACACCACACTCTCTTCTAAGGTAGATTCTTAAAGAAGCCCCAAGGAAACAAAGAATGTGGCTAGGTTCACACCCTCCACTAAGCAAAAACCTAAACATGCCCCTAAGAATGAAGCCACACCCTTTATTTGACCACAAGTCAACTCTGAATGCCACTGTAATCTTAGTCTGTTATTATATGCTCTCCAAAATGGGGTTTTAGCTACCAGATGTGTAAAGTTCGGAAATGTCAAATGAGGAATTATGGCTAAAAGGGCCACACTGACAATTCATTCATCTCTGTGCAGTAAGTTGTCTATCTGGGGCTGCTGAAGAAGTATGTGGAAAAATGGAATTAAAAGCAACAACGTTGTTGCTTTCTAATCTTTTAGAAACCTACACTGACACCATGTACTTTGTTTCTTTTTAGACTACCAAAAGGAAGCGTGGCTACATTAAAAATAAGCTAGCTTTTAAGAAAGGCAAGAAGGTATCTAAGAAGACTGTTTAAATCCACTGTTCTGGTTCCTAACTTGAAGCAGTTGTCCTTGCGAGAACCGGTCTTTGCCTTTAGCTCACGTCATGTTTCACAGCAACAGAGGGTACAGAACCATCACTGGTCCAGGTTAATGTACAAAATTTTCTGACGATGCCTGATTAAAAACAATAAAATTGGCTTATTGAGAACAGTGTTTCCGGTTTGTAATGTGAAGCAAGACAGAGCACTGCTGTCGCTGTCTAGCAGCAGGTTTTTTATTGGTACATATTACCCTTCAAACCTGAGAATTTGGACTAATTGCACCAAAGAACCCTCTAATTTGGTCCTTGGCACATGCATACTTGTCAGGTTTTATTCTTTTATAAGACCTGCATTTCATTTTAATTCCCCAAATAGCAATATGTAAAATACAAATGACAGCGGGTGAGGAGTTTCTTGAACTAGCAAATGAGTACAGGCCTGAGATATTAGGAGAGAAATTATACTTCCTTAAAAAATAATTTATTTTCATGTTTCTCCAGTGCAAAGAATGTTTCATCAAATGTCCATTTTCTCTTGCTTACTGTTGCCCCTGTCCAAGAAGCTGCTGCTGTTTCAAAGATGGACCTCTTGAGTCGCCAATGGGTTCACATAGTATTTTCACGTTGACACGACTGCTGCGAGTTGTTTTCTCCAGGTACTTACAGAGCAGATGCCGTACATTGTTCATTCAAGGGCTAAATTTATATCCTTTGGAAATCATGGCAACACCAGGATGGAGTTGGGTATCTCAGTACTGAGGGTAGCACGATGTTTACACGCAGAGTTTAAGGAAAAACCCTTCAAGTTGGCAGGTATCCAAAGTTCATTTTCTGTGACTCTTCAACATGACAAAGGATTTGTAAACTTCGCCTGGATTTCTTTCGTGTTTTAAAAAAAAGACATCCATCACAATGGTTTTGTTCTCTGCTCCATACTTTTTAAAATCCCTTAGGCATTTGATGAAACACTCTTTAGAGCTATATGCATTTTTTACTTTTATTAAAAATGTGACAATTGTCAAATGCACTAAAATATAAATGGAGATTGAACATGTTCACTTTCCAGCTTATAGGCAACTTTATACAGACTTGAAAATTTTCTCCAGTTGTTTAGTGAAAGAGAAGGGGTTTTTCCTGCCACAGGATATAACTTTTTTTTATATAACAAGCATAAAAGTGCAGTATGTACCTTTTATGAAGAAAAATGTAATTTACAATGTTCCGTGAGAATGTTACTGCTGATTTTCTTTTCCAAGGTGTAGAATATGTCTTTGGTTTATAAAATTCATTTTTGACCCTAATGATGGTTCTTTTTACAGACCAATAAAATGGCTGTAACATTTTCACAAATAAAATGTAACTAAATTTGGATTTCTGGTACCTTGTCATTGGGGAGGAGGGGGGGATTGTTTTACTTTGTTGCATTAAAATTCAATGCAGAGAAGTTGTTGACTGTAGGGGAAATAAAGTTCGTTCAAATTTTGTGTTAAGTGTTGTCTTTGACAAGTGGTCCTGTGTTTGATTGGAGTCATGGGACACTGAAGACATACCTCCTCCTCTGTTCACTTTTATAGAAACATTGGGAATGCTTACAAAAAAGAAGGCTGTGTTAATTCAACTTGCACCAACTATTTTATCTTCTTTATTCCCAGTACGGACATCTCCTTTTGCGTTCTTGCTTTTGGAAAGAACAAGTGATCTTTTACACTTGAGTAACAGGAACCTGTTCCCTAAAGCTGCCGCAGTCAGTCAGCATTGTAATTTCCTCGTGAGCAGGAAGAACCTCCGTGACACTTTTAGTTTGGGAAATGGCAAAAGCCAATTATAGTCGCTTAAGTATTTGTGGTTTCACTGTAGCAGAAAAGTGAAATCATAGTAGTGTGAATGCATTGGGATGATTGGCATAAATCTCTATAGTTCATGTGTGATCCCGAACACGACATCACCAAAGTTAAAGATAACTTTAAAGTTTTAGACTATAAACTTTTATTTCTATTCCACACTTCAGAATGGAACAAAGCTGTAATGCTTTGTAATATAAATAGAGCACCTGGGGCAGCAAGTCCAAAGACAAAAATTAAGTTTTCAGGCTTAGACTGTTGTCTAGGATTCCTAGTGGCACCTTGGGTTAAGCATTGGGCTGCTACCCACAAGACCGGGTGGTTCAAACCCAAGCACTCCCTTAAGATGAGGTGTTTTGTTTCCAGAGAGATGTAGTCTCCGAACCTCTGAGGGGCAGTTCTACAAGGGTTTGTCCCAATCTAGGGTTACTGTGAGTTGGAACCAACCCATTAACAATGGGTTTTGTGTCACAGGGTTTGTTGCTGTAATTCACATGAGCCAGAGGACTCAAAATCCAAACTCACTGCCATTGAGTCAGTTCTGACTCACAGCAGCCTGTAGGACAGACAGGGAGGCACTGCCCCGATGGCTTTCTGAGACTGTAGCCTATTACGGGAGTAGAAAGCCTGGTCTTTCTCCTGAGGAGTGGCTGGTGGTTTCAAACAGCTGACCTTGCTGTTAGCAGCCCAATAGGGTGGTAAACATCCTAGTAGAGTATGTGCCCACTTAAAAAAAAATTTTATCGGGGGCTCATACAGCTCTTAAATCATTCCATATATCAATTGTATCAAATTATTTGTACACATGTTGCCATAATCATTTTCTAAACATTTACAGTATATACTCGAGTATAAGCCAACTCGAATATCAGCCGAGGCACCTAATTTTACCACAAAAACTACATTAAAAATGTCCTGAAAAACACGGCTTATACATAGGTATTGTGATTTGAGCCCTTGGTATCAACTCCTCCTTTTTCCCCTTCCACCCTTGTGACCCATGATAAATTATAAGTTATTTGCATATCTTACACTCACTGTTCTCCCTTCACCCACATTTCTGTTCATCCCCCTGGGAGAGGCGTGTTATGCATTGATCACTGTGATTGGTTTTATCTTCCCCCTACCTTCCGGGGCTTACTACTCCCATTTCTGTGTCTCAGGGGTTTATCTGACCCGGATCCCATGTGTAATAAGCTCTTACCTATATAAGTGTACGTGCTCCACTCTCCCCAGAACTGAAAGGCGGCAGGGCAGGGGTCATGATAGTGGGGAGTGAGGAAGCCCCAAAGGACCAGATGAATGTTGTGTCATCAGTGCTTTACTGCACCCTAGTGCACTCATCCCTTCCTTGTGACCTGTGAGGGATGTTCTATTGTCCACAGACGAGTGTGGGACCTCTGCTCCAAACCCCCTCGTCTCAACATGTTTGTTTTGGGTCTTCTGGTGCCTGTTACCTGATTTCGTTGGTACCCTCATGATCGCACAGGCTGGTGTGCTTCTTCGAAGTGGGCTTGTTGCTTCTCTGCTAGATGGCTGCTTGTTTACCTTCAAGCCGTTAAGACCCCAGACTGTTCCCATCTCCATAGCCCAGGAGGCCAGAAGATCATGGAATTGGGAGCTGCTGCTGCTTGACGGGCATCCATGGGTGCTGGAAATTAACCAAATTTTTTGAAACATGCACAATATCCTTGTTTTCTCAGTTGTTAGTCTTGATTCAAAACATTTTTTTTTCAAGGAATCTACCCTTTTGTCTAAATTTCAAGTAAAAGTTTGGCAAAAATGTTTGCCATAAACATTTGCAGCCCTCTCATATTAATATAAATCTGTTAAGTGCCTGTTTTAATGTTACGTTTGAAGTCATGAGATTTTCTTCATATCCTTCCTAACTCGATTTATCTTGAAGACAACTTTGTTGATATTTTCTACATTTCGTTATTTACATATATCTCTGACCTTTGGGAAAGGGGTTGGTGGGTGGTATTTTATTGTGTTGCTATAAATTTTCCCCAGAGTCTTAATTGAAACTTCTGAAGACTAAAGGCCATTCATTTTAATGTAGATTTGAATTTACATTGAACATTCGTTGAATGGTCTATTAAATTTAGTACATTTCTTGGTTTTTAAAATGGTAGTTTTCTAGTTCCAATTTTAAATTGCTCCCCCCCCCCCCCCCGATATATGGCCTTAATATTTTCTAATTGGTTGACACTTGATCCAGAACTCATTTTTATATGCCCTTTAGCTCACTGCCATCAAGTCATTTCCCCACTCACAGTGACCCTAAAGGATGGAACACTGTCGCAGGAACAGTTCTAAGACTTTATGGGAAGAGAACGCCTCATCTTTCTCACATGGAGTGACTGATTGGTGGTTTCAAACTGCCGACCTTGCAGGTAACAACAGCCTCACTGGTAACCAACTCTGCCACCAAGGCTCCCGTAGCCTTCAGTGTGCATTTTTTCGGCAGATAGTAGGTAATAGAACATTACGTGAGATGGCTTTAAAAAGTTCGTAGAAAAGTTATCTTGGGTTCTTTTTTTTTTAATGAACTTTTGAAACCCCCTTTCATATGCTCAAGGTCAGGTTTTTGGTCACTTTTATATCTTGTTTTATGTTTTGTCTATTTACTGAGAACATTTTGAAATACCACATTAGTGATTTGGATATTTCTCCTTGAAGTACCCTCCCTTTTGTTTTGAATTCATATTGAAATGTTTTAGGGGTAATTGAATATTTAGAAATATTTTTATTAGTGCACTTTGTTGAGGCCTGTTTTGTTGATAAGTTATTTATGCATTACATATTCTCAGAGTTGTTATTTACCTATTTTTACGCAAATAACACGCACCTTCTACTTTTGTTTGCCAACTGCTCCATCCCTTAGGAAGTATCTTTGAGGGGCCCGTATACTTTTTTACATTGCTGTGGGAAAGAAAAAAAAGCGCACAGGTTTAGAAAAGTAACAGGGTGGTTAAGGGGTCAGGAGTGGAATTTGGCAAACAAAAATTAGATGTTATTTGTGTTAGAGCTGTTTCTCAAATACTTTCTACCACAGCCTCTGTTCTTAAAATGTGCTAGACCCATCTACTTATCTGTGATCCAGAAGCACGCCCTTACTCCCGTCTGCTATGGCTACCCTACTCTTGAACCCACCCATCAAGTTAATTTTACTTATTTTCCAATTCCAGAATTTATCTTCCTTCCCCTACTCCTTCTCGAACCTGTGCTGCTGTTGTGGTTTACAGTGGGCCCACAGAGTGCTGTAGTCTCAACTGAACAGCGTGCTTCATTATTTTAAATTGTCCGGTAGTTACACTAAAGTTCATGTGGGTCTTGTTTCCATTTTATGTTCCATTTTATGTTTTGGGACTTAGTCATTTTTTGTAACGTGCACTTTTTGTGTGTATTCAAGACATAATTTGAGAGACTTTTTAAGTGTGTGTTTTTTTTTCTCATTTCAGCCAGCTTTGGGGGAAGTTAGCAAGCCAGAATCACCCTAACCAATCAAGGAATTGATATAATACGAAACTACCTTGTTTCCAGGCTGAAATTCTTCCAAGTCCTCACCCAAGCAAACTGGAAAATACACATTTATTGTCCTTCGTCCTGTTAGTATTGCCAAGTTACTGCTGTGCAGCACTGCAGATTTCTTGGGGAAACATGGCCCTGGTCAGCTTCTCAGGATTTCCAGTGTGTGTGGGTTTCCTTAGCAAGGGAGTTGGTCCCACTTCAGCTCATTGTTAGGAAGTAGGATGTAAGAAAGAAAATCAACCCCAGTCCTGTGTGGCATCCTGTGGCTTATGTGTTCCCCCCCAAATGTCAGCTACACCCAGTCTGAGTTTTGTGTCTCCCAGAGAGAGAGACATTCACAATCTCTTGATAGTACATTTACTAAGACTTATTCTCGGAGAGTTAACTATCTAATCTCTTTAAATTGAAAAAAAAAAATCTTGAGTCATTTTGATTAGCTTATCAAGTATCACTGAATCAAAACTCCAGAAGATGACAACATGGTGTTCTGTTGTACACATGGCACAATAGCTTAATTGTTCCAAACATTTGACACCAGTGGGTTAGTGTGGATCAGTGCTTGGGGTTGGATCCCACAGAACGAGATCTCACAAAGGGGGCAGTGCGGGGAGGGCAAGTGTTACAGTCCTGGCTACATGTGAACAAGAAACTGCAGAAGACGAGGTAGTCAAGCTACCGCTACCCTTCCTTTCCCCCAAAAGGAGCAAACAAACCGACATTAGCAGCAACTTCGTTCAGTGGGCAAACCTGAGGAGGAGAAAAACTTGGGAAATCTCCCATAATCTGTAAAACCAAACTACTCAGAAATTAACCCTTTGCCTGAAAATCAGGTGCTAAAAAGGATATTTGGAAATTACTGAAGATCCTCTTCAATGAGCTACATGTAATTTAATAAATGTATATATGCCCATCTTTTCAAGAACTTAATGGAAAGTTGTGGAAAGGTGGATGCTGGTGAAGAAACTTCACGTAAATTCTTAGACAAGGCAGCTTATGTACATGTTTAGGTCAAATTCACATTAGCTGTGTGGCTTAATAAAAGTGAGATATATTTAAACTGGTTCTGAATGGAAGAATCCATTAAAATGAAGTCAATGCAGGATAGCAAACAACCCCTAAAACCTCCAAGGTCACAAACTGCCACTGAAGCCTGTGGAAGAATGTCTGCGATGGAAATGGTCCAGGAGGGAAAATGGGAAGAACATGGGCCAATCTGGGAGGGGAGCAAATGAGAACTGGAAATAAAATGTACAAATTGTTGAAATTCGTAAGCTCGGAGAAGGGGAGCACACGCAGCCACCTGAAGCCACAGATGAAGACCCATTTGGACAGACCCAAAACCACTCCACTGAGTTGATAGCACTGCCCCGTGCGTTTCCCAGACTACCAGAATAGCCCGTCTTCTGAGAAGAGGCCGGTGGTTTTGAACTGCTGACTTTGCAGTTGGCAGTGCAACTCAACCACTACACTGCCAGGTCTTGCACACACAAAACTTAAAGCCAGCTCTCCAAAAGATCAAACATTTATATAATTTAATGGTGTCATCATACAAAACTCAAGAACATAGCAATATAAATGCAGCACCCAACAAGATAAAATTCAAGATGTCTGGCAATCGAAGGAATTAAGGCCCATATTGGAAAAAGCAATCAATAGAAAGAGGCCCAGAAATGACTCTTTAAGTTAGGCATATTTTAAATAGTCATAGCTATATTCCATGTTGAGTCAAGATTAAACATGTTAGTTGGAGGCATTAAAGATATAGAAAGACTCATATACTAAAATGAAAAATACCAAGATTACATACATCTATAGAAAGAATAAGTGAATTTGATATGCAGCAATAGAAACTAATCCAAAATGGAATCCTAAACCAAACTCTGCCACCAAGTCCATATTGACTGATAGAATTGCCCCATACGGTTTCCAAGGCGGTAAAAATCTTTACAGAAGCAAACTGCTACATATCTCTGGAGTAACCGGTAGTTTCAAACAACTGATTTTTTTGGCTAGCAATCGAATCATCCCTAATCGCCGCCACCACCACCACCAAAAGGCTCTCCACCATTGAATTGATTCCAATTCACGGTGACCCGCTCGCAGCCATCAAGTGTGACCCCCTTTGGCAGCGGTTCTTAACTTGTGGGTCGCGACCCCTCTGGGGGCCAAATGACCCTTTCACAAGGGTCACGCAATTCATAACAGTGGCAAAATGACAGTTGTGACATAACGAAAATAATTTTATGGTTGGGGGTCACCACATGAGGAACTGTATTAAAGGGTCGTGGCATTAGCAAGATTGAGAACCACTGCCCTATGGGTTTCCGAGACTAACTATAGGGGTAGAAAGCTCAGTTATTCTCCCAAGAAGCAGCTGGTGGTTTCAAAGTGCTGACCATACAGATAGCAACCCAATTAGTAAACACTACACCATCAGGGCTCCAGCCATAATGACCCCCTACGTCTCCTTAATTACAGAGAAGAAATGAAAAAAGACATCAGTGAGCTACAGGGCGATTCCAACCTAATGCACATGTGGTTAAATAGGCATCAATGTTTTTAATATTGTTCATAATTAGCCCCCAAATGGAAAATAGCCCAAGACCATCAGAAGTAAGATAAATTGATAGTGCTATGTCCACATCCTGGAATACACTAAAATCCACCCACACTGCCATCAAGTCAGTTCTGATTCAATGATCAAGCAGGACAGAACTGCCCCATCCAGTCCCATGGCTGTCAATCTCCAGAAGCAGACTGCCACCCACATCTCTCTCCTGCACGGCTTGGCTCAACCCACCCACCTGTCAACTAGCAGAGCAAGTTCCCATGGAGCCCGTTACAAAGGAAAAATTAAGTATTGTGAGAGCCTTATTTTTTAAATGTTTACGATAGTCTTAAATAAAAAGTTAGACAAAATGATTTAATTTACATACAATCAAAGGGGGGGTGTAAAATGCTTGATTAGTAATATAACAAGCTAACATTATGAGGCAAAAGCAACAGTCTGATTAGTGAAGTTTAAGGGAGTTTCCTTCTGAGTGATGGTAATGCCTCAAGTTATCGGTACGACTGCTTTAAAATAATTCATTACATCCTAACTTTGTTTTTGTATTGTTGAATAACACGAACTAAAGAGAAAAAAAATAGAGCAACTCAACAATTTGGATTGACCTACAAAATATTGGTTAAAATAACCCAGCTATGGTTGAGTACAGTAGTTGACTCCACTTGTAAAAAGCCTAAAACTGGGTGAAACTAAACACAATGCTTAGAAATCCATGGATATAACTACTCATAGGTTGCAGTTCGAAGCTGTACTCACATTACCCTTTCTTCATGGTAGCTTAAGTTCTATGCCATTGATTAAAGTATTGTTGTTATCAATGGAATCACCTTATACCCCAAGGGGAGGATTGACAATGTTTTGTCATAGAAAGATAAGATGCTAAATTAAACCAAAGTTACACATAACTTGTGGACAAGCAGTTGGATTTTAGCCTCCCACTTACTCAATTCTAGCCCCAATCCAAGAACAGTTAGCTCATAACCTGGACCGGCTCGGTACTCGCCTTCATTAAGAGATCACTGAAGAGAAGGGTGCTACAACAAAGCATGGTGAAGAAAGCAGTTGATGCCTGGCTACCAATTGGAATAGTGTCTGGGTCTTAAAGGCTTGTTTTCAAACAAGCATCCGTCCAAGTGAGGCATCTACTAAGTCCACATGGAAGAAGCACACAGCCCATGTGATCCAATGACCACAATTACAAAATCCAAATAGGAAGGGAAAGATATCAGAGCTTTAATTGGGAACACCCAATTGTAGAAGGCTATGGAGGTCAATGGGAACCCAAATTCCATCTGTAGAGTGCCTACTTGGCAAAAGCCTCTGGTAGCGTCCCTCTGGCCTCAGTAGTGGGACACGAACAGCTTTGCTGTCAGATTATTGTAAACTCGATTATAGTGGAGGTGAACAATATTGATACCTGTTCAGTGGCCTCCTTGACCCAATCTGAACTTACTATGGTTTCAAATATTTGCTTGTTCCATGACAGAAATTTTCTCTCTGGCTTATTTTGGTATTTATTGCTAGTGGTCTTTTTAAAAAATTGTTTCTGGTATGTCTCAGTTGATGAAAAACAGAAGGATTTGGATGCATAGAGACAATAATGGAATGACTTCTCAAGGGAAGGAGAAGGGGAATTGGGAGCAAACAATATAGAAGTGTATGGTATGTGGATTTCATATCAGTAAACCAATTGGGAGGGAGAAAAATAACATGGCTAGTACATGGTCAAATGGAAAACCAGGGATGATGACCCCAGGAGTCAAGATGGCCAGTGCTGCCTGAGGGCAGAAAGGACAGGAAGGGGGTGGGGTGGGCACAGAGGTGGCTGTGAAGGCACTGGCAACCTTAGTTTCTCTCTTCGATCAGTTGAGGACACGGTGTCTCTCATGCCAGAAATCGTACATTGAAGAACTCTATTGCTACGTGATAGTTCCCTGTCTCTTTAAAGGCCAAAATGCATCTACTCACCACAAAAAAAGGACCGAGAGAAGCCTTTCTCCTTGAGTTTCCTGGGCGGTTTATGCATGGGAGGCAAGGCTAGAAACTCCAAGGCCACCACAGTGAACAAGCCTATATCATGACCACCTCTTAGCAGAGAATGTTCACTGGAAACAGGTTAGATATTTTTAACGTGGCAGAAAAATATCAGTAACATTTATCTGGTGATTTTTCTCAAATGTGTTAAAAAAAATTGGGGAGCCTAAATCATGGCTATCATTAACCAAATTAACAGTGAACAGCACCCTAGCCCTTAAAATGGGACCCCATTCAGAGACACCAACTCCATCAGAAAACGTGAATCCTTGAAAATAAAACACAGACAGACACACAGAGAAGCAGAGTATTTAATCGAAATAATTGTCTAATATCTACAAAGTGAACAACTGGTCTTAAGATTGCAGACGAAAGGCACAAAATTAGTATTACTACAGAAAGCGATCATGCTGTTGGATTTTATCAATATCATTGGAATAGTACTGTAAAAAATAAGCACTGAGCAAAAATCAAATCCTTCACTTTCCCCTTATTTTATATTCTGGTCAGATCTTCCCCTCGTTTGTAAAAGCTGAAGACAGAAAGTCCACTGAAACCCTGGAACACTTCGGCGGGCTTTCTGAGAGCTTGGGTCAAACCAGAGAAGTGAAGTAAAAAAGAGAGAGAGAAATCCATAGGACATCCTTTTCTCTGCCCAAACTAATTACCAGATTGAGGTTGTGGTGCATGTTTATAGGGGCATGCACGAGTGTATATTCAACTTCTAAAGCCCTTTTTATAGCATCACAAGAGGAGTGAGGTCACCCCATGATTTATTTTCTCCTATAAAAGCAGCAGCTTCTAAAAAAAAGTGCTTTTGAGTGTGAGAAATTGACAGGGAGCTTCTGGGGAAGGGCTAACGGAGGAAAATTCCAGATGAGGCCTGGCTCTAGGTTCTCAGAGGGGTCCCATTCCATCCTGGAAGTGTCTAGCAAGGACCAACAATGACCTGCTTACCACTGCTGCCTTCCCCACCAGCAGGAAACCCAGTTTTTCTCTTCGGTGCAGATGAAACCTTACGGTGAGGAGGTGGGAACCCACCATTTTGAAATGACAGTGCCTCCAACTTCTATGTGGATGTCAACCGAGCCAGGCCAACTCTTTAAGAGGAGTGAGAATACCTTTGTGAGTGCAAAGTAGAAAACCTCACACCTCATTGATAGAAAGGAGCTCATAGTTAGTTACCACTTAAACCTTGAAAGTGCAATATTTACATGTGTCGTAATCCCCAGCAGACGTGTGTATCGCGCATGCGTGTGACATACAGTGTGCAGAAAGTTCACAGAGATCTGTGTACCACACACATGCCCTAAATGGCTCTTGAGTAAATTCAGCCCCATAGTAGAGTGTTGGGAGTGCACACTTCACAGTATAGCATTCCTTTCTCGGGTACCACGCCTCGGAGAACATCAAGGGGTGTGAGTGCCAGCCGAACCCTGATACCGTACCACTTTAATTCCTTCCCAAACAGCGATTTCAGCAGGTTTTGCACCTCCACCCTCAATGTGCCTTCCAGAGGGGATTGACATAGACCCAGCCATCACCCTGCAAGAGAAGGAAGGAGACGTTACATGGAGACCTCTCCGTGGAACAAACTCCAAGGAAGCTGCAAGGACAGCGCCCCCACCTCTGACACCCCCCAATAGCAGGATGGAAGCCGAGTGCTGGGCAGGGGCCCCTGCCAGCCTGTGCTCTGCCCTGTTCCTGACATCTCAGAGCCAGCCAAGCTGGCGCTCTCCCGAACCGGCTCTCCTCAGCTTCACTGCACATCACCACCCCATAACGATCTTCACAACCTAACCCACAAACCCCACCCCACAAATAACAAAAGATGGGGGGCGTTGTTGGTTTGCACCAAGGATGCTTAACTTTGTAAAACTGTGAGACAGGTGGGTTGGCTGCATGGCCCATGGAGGCAAAAGCCAAGGGACCACGTGGCTGAGAGGCAGTTGGCCGCTGGTTGGGGAGATCAATGATCATCTCCTTATCGTTTCCTGATCCTGACTTGTTGCAAACTATTAACTTCCTTTAAAAGCCCCCTTAACTGTGAGGATTGCCTACGAGTTCTGTGTGGCCATTGCAATGAATTCTTGAGCCCAGCACAGATGTAGACTGGCGTGAGGAGAACGGTTGGTGTCGGGATACGGAGGGGGCAGTACGTGTGACCCCCCTGCCCTGTGACAACAGGGAAGCCAGCGGAGGACAGATATGTCCATCTCCCTGTTGTTTATTACAACAGTGACCATTGCTAAAACTCACTCCGTAAAAGTAGTCCAAATCAGTAATCTTTCCTTGTAGCACAAGCCAGAGATTAGCTGCACATGGCAAAAGACAGCTTAGGACATATTTTCAACTGACTTTAAAATGTTTAAGTCATAGGTTCCCAAACTTATTTGGCCTTCCGACCCCCTTTCAGGGAAAAAAACAAAACCAAAATCACTCAGCGTCCCCCTCTGGCAATTAAAAACATTTAGCCCATCGTCCAGGATAAAGTGTAGGTATCTGCTTTGGCAGGCCCTTCTGGGGGGATGCATGGGACACTTTGGGTAACACCAGTTTAAATGTTTAAAAGAGTTTAAATTTCTTCCCAATGTGAAAGTTAGACTTACCATTCAAACAATTTCCCTTAACGATTCAGACAGTTCATTGCCTGGAGGTGAGTGGCATTTGTCCCCTTCAGCAATGGACTCTCCTGTCTGCCCTGGATTCATCATCATTTAGGCTACCTGTTTGGTGGGCTACTATCCAGGTACACAGTGCCCAGCCCTCTGGCCCCACAGGTGCATAGTCATGTGGAGACAAGTCCTGCTTTCTAAGATTACTTTCCTGGGGGGTGGCAGCAGCCCGTCTGGTGGAGGAGCCCCCACCCCCACCCCAGTATGCCCAGTCCTGCCAGCTCAGAGATGGTAGTTCTCCGTCATGAGAGGTCCTGCCATCCACATGTGTTCAGGGGCTGTACACCGAACAGCATGCAGATTTCAATCCCAAGCCTCCTCTCCCTAGTAGGCTGCTGGGCATTTCTGACCGGGAGAAGCCACAGGGGAAGGTATCAGTTGCCCAGTTCTCCGTACCAGAGAACGCTGTTTCACAAAAAGGTTCCCCAAATCTAGTCCAAACCTGGAGCCCAAACCAAGATGTCCCAGTCTTTCCTAGGGCCTCCCCTGCCCATTTATTCTCATTCATGCAAACCGCTGGGTTAGGGAGAAAAAGCCCCCTGCCCCCACTCTCCATGCCCCACCTCTGGCCCCTGCTCTCCTGGGGGCGGGGGCTTTGTGGCAGGTGGGCTGGCTTACCTCCTGGACAAAATATCTGGGCTGCCAGGGCGTACAGAGTTTCTCGCGCTTCCGTTCCTCCACCCGCTGCTTCTCCTCCAGGCGCCGCTTCTGCTCCGTGGCTGCATCGATGTCCCCCAGGCGCAGGTGGCGAGTCACCTCCCGCCAGAGGTTCCTGGGAAGGCGCAGAGGAAAGAGTGACTACCCGAGAGAAGGGGGTTCTGAGATAGCCCACTTACAGGGGGAGCTCCTTTCAGGTACTTCAGCCACGAAGAGCCAGGATGAGGACCGGGGATGGCACGCTTTTTCTGTAAAAGGCCACACAGTAACTCTTTTCGGCTTTGTGGAGCACACGTCTGAGTTGCGACTACTTAGCTTTGGTGCCGTCACAGGAAGTCAGCTGTAAGTAACCCCCTGGAAGTCAAACCCCACTGTCACTGAATCCATTCTGACTCACAGCAACCCAGGATGCCTTTGTAGGGACATCCAAGACCGTGTCTCTTGACACGAGCAGAGAGCCTCATCTTTTTCCTGCAGAACAGCTGGTGAGTTTGAACCGCTGACCTAACGGTGAGCAGCCCACGCTTAGCCCACAGGGTCACCATGGCCCCTAAAGGCAGACATAGCCATTGTGACTGTGGGTGGATACTAGCTAGACAATACGAGTCACCACAGATGTTTTCCAATAATGTTTGATTTACAAAAACCAGTCAGGCACTGGACTTTGCCTGTGTCTTGGGTTTGAGGCTTCCATTAAAGATTTGAAAAGCATCAACATTTTTAAAAGATGAAAAAAGTGAAAATGTAACATCATTCCAAGAAGAGTCTCCTGCAATCATCTTGGAATGCAAGAGGAATTCACCAAGTTCATGGAAAAATTCCGTCAGCTCTTATTTCCATTTCCCCTTGCACGCACGCACGCACGCCGCTTTAAGTGGCTGCATGATACGCACAGCACAGCGTGGCTATACTAATTGAGGAGAGAGGCCACGATTCACACAGCCATTTTCCTAGTGTTGGACAGTTAGGCGGTTTTTCTTCTGTTTGTCTGCTGTTTCCTTTTCCTTGAGAAACAAACCCAAATTTATGTTTGAAATCACTTCTGAGCTTCACAATTCCCCCTTTGGGTAGAGTCACAGGAGGAGCGTGCAAGACCAAAGTGAATCCGCGTGTCTCACACCACTGACTCCTGCAGCTGAAGTACAAACCCACGGGCTCTACCCATGGCCGCACCCACTGCCAAGGACAGAGCAGATGGTGGATTTCACTCTACCCTTCCCAGCCGGGGGGAGTGAAACATCTTCATACGGCTCTTGTACCCGTTTCTCTGTAAGACCCACCAGGACATGCACAGAGGGTGTGTGTAACAGTGAAAGAGGGGACTGGTCCGTTTCCATTACCATCCCCCCCCCCCCTATCAGGATGAGCCACCTTTGAAGCAGCAGCAGGGAGAGCGAGCGAGCCCAGGACCATCCCAAGAGCCTGTTTGAGATTTCTGTCTGAAATGGTGGCAGCCTAGGGCAGGGGCATCTGAGGCTGTGGCACTGCGACGCTGGGACACAGCACAAGGAGCAGCCCCCAGGCTATGAGATGGACACAGAGCAAGAGGTGGGCTTCCTGGTCCCTGGAGGTAGAGGCCAAGGGACCATGCGGCTAGGGATCACAGAGACGTGGTGGCTGCCTGAGGATCAACGACGGTGTCGTCACTGTTTACGGATCCTGACTTGTAAGCTATTAACTCTCCTAATCAACCCCCTTAATTGTGAGTAATGTCTGAGTCCTGTGTTTGAAATCATTTCTGAGCTTAACGTTTTCCCCCTAAGACAGACTCACAGAAGTAGAGTTTGCGACTGAAGTGAAGCCATGTGTTTCGAAACCCCTGCCCGCCCACCCCACCCCCCACCCCCCACAGTACAAACCTCATGGGTTCCACTTGGGCGGGTTAGCAAACCTAGCAGAGAAGTCGTGTGGGAAGAACGGCTGGTGTCCGAGCAGGTAAAGGCATGTCTGCTCCCTATGCCTCTTTGGCAAGAGGGATGCCAGGGGAGGTCAGTTATGGCCCCCCGCCCCAACGCACGCCATTTAGCACACTGACATTGAATATTTTGGTTTAAAACTTTTTTATGAGTGATCTGAGAAGGGAAACGGGCTCCTGGAGTCACTGCCCAGTTCTTTGAGCCCAGTCCTCTGTATTTACCGGGACAATCATCCAGCAGCGCCTCAGCGGGGCTGACAGACTTTCAGGTCAGGCTGCAGACAAGCCGCACGCCCTCGCCATCGTGGCCAAGTCAGCACACAGAAACCTACCAAGGATCTGCGACTAGGCGCCCCCGGGGGAGCACAAACTGTTCATGGCATCAGACGGACATCATGCCCAGGCCCATTTCTACCAGCCGAGCTGCAGAGGCTCCCCTCCTGGCCCTGCAGTCCAGCTCTGAGGACAGACAAGCTGGGGGGAGTGCCATTCTTACCTCGACTCCATGGGACCTTGCTTCTCCAGAGGCCTGATCTTCTTGGGGTACACTGGCAACGTAGTTGTGTCGATGACTTTGGTGTCCCCGTTGCTGTAGGTGAACTCCAAAGTACCGTTCCACTCCCCGTGAGCTTTACAAACAATGGTGTTGGTTGGGTTGTGCTTCACTTCGGCCGTGACCCTGAGAACCAAGGAGTCCAGTGAGCACACTCTGGCTGGACCGTCAACACTCGGGGCTTCCTGAGATGCCCTCGTACCGAGAGGAGACTCTTGGATGGCGGAGGGAGAACTACTGTGGTGGCCTTGCTCAAAGACGAGCTCTGAAGATCTGCTCTAACAGCCTTGCCGAGAAAAAGGGGCTCGGTGGGGAAACTGGTAGACCCGGAGGCTGTCCATCAGTTCGTGGGAACGACTCCGTGGGACCCGCTTAGGGTGAGCTGGGGTTTGCTAAGACTTGACCACTGGGATGGAAATCGAGCAATTCGGTAACAATCCAGCATGAAGGGCTTCAAAAATTTATGGGAAAATGCCATATTCTTTTATCATTTTTACAGAATTTTTTTGACCCCCCTCCAAAAAAAAAAAAAAAAAAACCACAACAGGATCTAATTAGCACTACATTTTAAGCACAGGGAGAGTACGGCAGAGGGAGAAGGTTTACATTCTTCAATGTGGGTCCAACATGACCACTCACCATCTAAACCGAAATCACCATGGCCAAGGATGGACGTGGTCACCCAGTGCCCACACGCTCCCCGGATTGAAGACGGAGTAGAAGCCACACTCAGGCTCTCATCAAAACCACCAGCACCTTCCTCCTCACAACCCCGCTCCCGACTCCCTGGAAAGGGTCCTTGACGGAGCTGGGTGACCTCCTGCAGCCAAACGGAAGCGCCAAGCTTCCCCTTTCTGAACGTCCTGCTCAGGCTACATTTCATTTTCAAAGGCAGCTGGGAAATCTTCTTCCTAAGCCGTAAATGCTCGTGAACCAAAGACTGCCAGGTCTTCTGGAAACTTCTGGGGTGCACACAGAGGAAGGGCTTCGGTGTCAGGCTGGTAAATATTTAACAATGAGCTCTCACAGAGGGGAAAAACTGACGAAAATGCCCTCGTTAGCACGACTGACTTCAAGCTAGCAAAGTAATGTCACAATGTGGCGCTGGGAAGAGACGTGAGCTGGCATGTGTTGATAACGTCTGTTTGCCAATCTGTCCTTGGATATACTCATGTCAATGCCATACACGGGTTCATTTCCCACAAGGGGAAAATCAGATGGAAGCTTGCTTGTCCCTTTCAGGGTGCATTCGACACACGTCACACACACTGCCACGGGTCAATGCCAACTCACAGCAGCCTGACAGGGCAGAATAGAACTGTTCCTTTGGATTTCTGAAGCTATACACCGTTACGGAGCAAAAAGCCTCCTCTTTATCCCATGGAGGGGCTGGTGGGTTCAGGCTGCTGACAGCCCAACTCATCACCCCCAGGGCCACCAGGGTTCTGTGGGACATATAGAGCCCACCATATTTTCAGCCTCTCAATCTCTGCCTATTCCACTGGTAGCATGTGCCGCCACGGTACAGGGCCTATGTAATTGGGATTCGTCTCACGACCAGAATCCACCTGGGGCACAGGCCCCATGCGACCGTATCAAAATTCATGACCTTTAAAAACTGTCTTGCTTTTTTTTCTCCTGGATTTCAGCATACCTTGTGTGACTAAAAACACATGGCATCAACCAAAACTCCAATGCACACAAGAACTCCGTCTCAATGGATCAAGCCGTGTATCTGCTCTGAGAGAGGCCACTTTTCTATCTAGAGCAGTCAGTCAGCAGGGATCTCTCCATTTCAGTGTGTGCGAGTCAGGCTCCCCAGGGGGGAAAACAGTCACGATCTCGTAGCTTCACGATGTGAGCTAAGCCCTAGAGATAAATACGCACTAGAGACACATGCTAACAGAGCCCACTCCAGGCTGTGGGCCCAGACCGGAGGGCATGCTGCCAGCATGGCGACGTCTTCATCTAGGACGTGGAAGTTGTGCAAATCCATCCCTGGAGGACCTCACCACCTATTCAGATTGGGGAGGGCTCCCCAGAACTGCTGTGGGCGATGGGGAAGAGAGCCGCCTCTCTCTGGAAACGCCTGGTCTCGGGTCCCATGACATTCATCCACAGGGATCATCAGCTCAGCTCACGACTTCACCTGGACTTCCACCTCAGCCCACTGCACGAGCTCCCTAGTCTCGTGCTGGAAAGAAACCACGCCAAAGGGGGAGCCCCCTGGCTCCCCGTCTCCACCAGCCCTGGGCGCCCTCCTACCTGTGCACTTTCCCGCCATAAAAGGGCTTCGTGTGGAAGGTGACTGTCGCCGAGTACCCGGTCTTGACACAGTTGATGCCGACTTTCCCTCCGAGCTCCACCCATGGGATGGTGAGGATGGAGCGTGCGTAGGCACTTGGCAGGGTAAACACGTACTCCTCCCCGTGTTCCAGGAGCCGCAGCACACCTGGGGGGGGGGGGGGGGAGACAAGGGCGGATGTGGGTCAAATGGCATGAAGACGGAGAAACCAAACCGTAGCCTGCGACACCTGGGAGGTGTCGCATCTCCCAACTCTGCAAAGGTCAGCCACACAGAGGATTGTGATAGGAGATTTTACGTCAGCTTGGAGTTACATAAAAATATAGGGGTGGTAGCCAACCTCATCACACAGCCTGATAGCGCCTCCTTGTAGATGCGGCCTTCTCCTAAGGAGGGCCGCCTCTCTCTGCCTGCGCCCTCCTGCTCGCTGGCCACCCTGAGCGCTGTGGGGCCCCCTGCCATGTTTCCACCGACCTTGGCCTTCGCACACGCCTGCACTCACTGGCCCGTGATCTTCCTGCAGTCTGCATCATTGCCCATGGCTGCGTGAGTCGGAAGAGGAACTGACGGACTGCTATCGGACTTCTGGACTAGAGTTGGACTGGGCTGGGCTGTTTTCCTGACATGTAACTACTTCTTGATAGAAAGCTCTTTCTGCACATAAATGAGTGTCGCTGGGTGTGTTGCTCCCGTCAACCTGGCCTCCCACAGGTGTCCACTGTGTACTAGGAGCTGTTCGAAATACGGAGAATACAGTGTTGAACAAAACAGACCATGTCTGCCCCCCCCCCCCGAACATAATAGAAAGGCAGACATTATTAACAAGCCACGAGCAATTGTAACTTTGACAGACGTGTGAGGGGCACGTGTCCAGTGCTATGGAAGCCGCCCGCTGGAGGAGCTGACCTGGACGGGGAAGACTGCCCTGAAACAGTGAGGCTTGAGCGGAGCAAGAGAAGAGGGGAGGGAAGAGTGTTCCACTCCGAGGAAGCAGCAAGCACAGAGGTCCTGTGGTGGGAGAGAGCCGATACAAGGTCCCAAGGGTGCAGCAAAAGACCTTTTTAAAGTGCTTTAAAAAAATGGAAACAGCGTAGGGAGAAGGTCTAGGGAGGATGGAAGGCGAAACCTATTGCACCCCGCCAAGGGAATAAAAAAAAAAACGGAATATGAAAATAACTGTAATTTATCATTACAATTACAAATTGGTGGGAGGGGGAGTAGGAAGGGAAAAAAGAGGAGCGGATACCGAGGGTTCTCAAATAGCAAGTACATGTTTATAAAATAAGGATGGCAACATATGCCCAAATATGCTTGATCCAATTGATGTATGGATTGTTATGAGAGCTGTGGGAGCCCACAATGAAATGCTCTTTAAATAAATAAAGTGTTCAAAAGCAGAGGTGTCACTTTGAGGACTAGCGCGTGCCTGCCTCACACTTTAGTCTTTCCTTTGCCTCCGATGCACGCAGAGCTGGGCCAAGCCCAGCGTAAGGAAGACTCAAGGGCCACGCCTCCGAGTCCAGGTGCTGACAACGGCGAGTCGGAAAGCGAACAGCTCAGGGTGGGAAGAAGCTCCGTAGATGCACGAATGGGGGAAGTGCTCACGGGTTTGGGACCTGTATCAGGAGGGACCAGCCCCGGGAGCAGGATGCTGAAGGATTGGGCGGTATCTGGTTCTGCTGCACACAGGGTCACGGAACCAACTCAGCCTAAGATGACCAGATTTTAACATTAGTAAAGCGGGACACCAGCAGGACACCATTGATAAAACTCATATCCTAGCGAAATAGCCACATGGCAGCCGAAAACCGTATACCCTAGCTCATTGTGCATTCTTTCCAAAAATCGGGACTTTTGAAAAACACCGTGGGACGCGGGAAAATTTGTTAAAAATCGGGACTGTCCCGCCAAAAGCGGGACGGACGTCTGGTCACCTTACCTTAGCAGCACCTCACAACAGACTGATCTGGAACTGCCCACCACGCTCGCAACCAAGTCCATCAAATTCAGTTCTTCCCAAGCAGTGAAGTAAATGCTTGGCTCATACCCCCAAGGTGAAAGCCCTCCGGGTTTGTTTAAAGGGATTCACGTGTCCCCGTGTGCTGGGAGGTTCACGCCATGCGTGGTGCCGCTGGGAACTATGAAAAGCAGAGCGGTGGCCAGTGACACTCAGGTCAGACACGTCACCAATTAAAGCCCCCTCTCCATCCAGGAACGGAGATGAATACTTGTCACTTCAATACACAGATGGCATGAGTCTAGTATCCAAATATGTGGAATATCTGAGCAGACGGGGCTGCTCCCCCACCATCTCTACTCTGATTTGCTGCATCTCATAATACAGTCGACCTTGCTTACTTAAAAGTAAAGCCCTAGGCCAACTACTGCTCTCGCTCCACACACATACACCTTAGAGCAGATGCCTCAAACTTTTTAAACGGGCCAGTCCACTGTCCCTCAGACCGTTGGAGGGCTGCACTGTAGTTTAAAAGAAAACTATTAAAGTAAAAAAACAAATGGGGCAAAAACACCCAGCGGGCCGGATAAATGTCCTTGGAGGGCCGCATGTGGCCCGCGGGCCGCATTTTGAGGACCCCTGCCGTAGAGAGTAGAACTGCCCCAGATGAGCCCCCTGGAGGTCTCCAGGAATTAGGATCCTTGGAGGGGAATAGTCAGATCTGAACTAGTCCGTTTAAAGCCTACTTGGTATCTCACTTCTGCAAATGCGGTTGCATGGGCAGAGAGCGCCTATTTCAGCTAAGACATGAGACCAACATGGAACCCAAGTTATTTCACTTATGTAGTTAGAACACTTCACCCCTCACAAAAGACAGTTAGCCTAAGGCACTTTCTGCCGTCTCTATGGAATTGTTGTCCCTCACAACACTGCTCAAAGGCAGACATCGCCATGAGGCTTCTCTTATGTACCTGTTAGTGATTAAGAGCTAGGCCCTTCTATCTACTTAGTCAACAAAGACATCCTGAGACTGGCCTCCGATGTGGAGAACCCTATTGCTCTTTGGATGCTCATGATCAACATGTTACCCATGGTTACCCTGAAACCTGAGTTAATGTAAAACACCTCTGTGACGCTCCAAAATATAAATTTCAAAATTAAATATTCTCTATTCAAACTTCCAGCCATGAAGGGCACCATAAAGACAGCCTTTATTATTGTTGGTCTCCATGCTGGTGCTCACCTTCTAATAAAATGCTCTATTTCTTCCTCTAATGTGGAGTGAGTCACATGATGTGGACTGTGTGTCCCGGAGCTCCACAGTCCTACTGCGTGCAGACCCGCTCCACAGTCCTACTGCGTATAGACCCGCTCCATGTAGACCCACTCCATAGTCCTACTGTGCGTAGACCCACTCCATAGCCCTACTGCATGCAGACCCGCTCCGTAGACCTACTGCGTGTAGACCCGCTCTGTAGCTCTACTGTGTGTATACCCTTTCCATAGCCCTACTGTGTGTAGACCTGCTGTCTCTGGCTCACATCAACCCCATAAGGCAAAGTAGAACTGCCACATAGGGTTTCCAGGCTGGTATCTTTACCAAAGCAGGCTGCCACTTTTTTCTCCCACAGAGCAGCTAGTGGGTTTGAATCATCACCTTTCACCTACCTGAAACCAACAACCTTCTCAATTATCAGGCAAATGCTTAACCTCTACACCACCAGGGTTCCTGCTAAGAAGACCACTTGATGGTGAATTCTTTCAGGTAGCCAATAGGTCTGCCCCACATCACGACCTCACACTTTTTTTTGGTCCCGATTTTATGGTTACCGCCTTCTGCCCCTACTAGGAATCCTTGGGGACAACCACTTATTCCTTGTCTGGCCAGTAGGCTCTGGCTTCAGAAAGAGCCCGAGTGAGCCATGGGCTCCCTCACCTCCCATCAACCTGGTGGCTGGGGCTGTGCCCACAATGCTTTCTTTATAACCTATTTCCATGGAGAATATGGCTCCCATCTTCTTATAGACCTGGATCACGGCTTCCCAAGCCTCTGTCACCAATCTGGTGATCGTACCCTTTCAGGGCCTTAGTGCCCTCACGAGTGGCACAGAGCTAACTGCATCCACACCCAACTGAGCTACACTAAGGCTAGAGAAGGCGAGGACCAAGCTCAGCTCAAAGCATGCGCCCTGGCCCACTGCCAGAATCCCATGACCTTTTGCTCTCACAGTGGCCGGCTTGGTGGGTGAACTTTTAGCAATGCATTTCCAAATCAGAAACACTGGCAGTGGGGTGGCGGTGGGGGTGGACATGACAGAGACAGGTGGGATATGTTGGGGTTTTTTATTTTAATGCTTTACCTAAGAGATAGCATCCTCCTCTCCATTGTCTTTAGAAAAACCCCTTGCAAGACAAGAAGAACCTCCCCCCAAGTCCCCAGAAGCCCGTGTGCAAGCTGAGCGCTTTGACGGCACTGGGGAGGCTGCCTTCCCTTGGCTCTTTTCTAAAGATCCATAAATGTGTGCTCACTCATTAAATCACCCTGATGAGGCTTCCTTGGTGCTGGCTCTTTTTCTCAAGGTTGCTTAAACGTTTTTTTTTAAAAATTAAAAATATATATATATCCCCCTACTATGAATAAAAGACCGCAATAAAATTACTTACAAATTGGATTGCAAATGAAAGTCCCGTCTTAATTGGCACAGGAGGCTGGGAGAAACTGGAAAAACTCTCAATCACCCATTTTTCCAGGCCCTGCTTTGGTCCTCACGCCCGGAGACACACACTTGAAATTCCACAAGACGGCTTACCAGATAAACACAAGGCAAAGCGTGAAGATTTCCAAACTGATAAACTTAAAATAATTTTGCCCCTGGTCTCCACGGTATGCCTATAGAGCATTTTTACGGGAAAGCACAGGGTCGCAGCAAGCTGCTCAGGTGTCTGTCTGTTCACTGTGTCCTGTCGGCTGCTTTTACTTGAGTTAATTGCCTTCCCAATTCCCTAGAAACAGTCTCAATAAAGAGGCTGTGCCACTGGCAGGGCATTGACTCTGTGGGCTTGGGGGGAAACCCATTGTGGGAGCAGCTGGAAGCCTCTCACTCCCAGCAGTGGGGAGCAGGGAGGTGGGTGTGGATTGCAGAAGGGCCCTCGCTCTCCCTTGGACAGCAGTATGGGGTTGACAGAACAG